GAATTTAAAATAAAATGAAAGTTTTTAATTAATTCAAAATTTTACGAGTTGATTTTTTTTTTCAAAGAGATTATATTTTATAGCCTTTTAAACCCCCCCCCCCCTCCTGATAAATTATTCCCTGAATTACTATATAATTTTTTCATAATATTTTCTTTGAAATACCTAATCAATAAAAAATAAGCAATCAATTTTATTTATTCTTTTTATTAGTTATCAAATAAATGATCATTATATTATTCATACAAATAAATAGTATATATATAACTATTAAAAAATGATTTTTTATCATTTAATTGCGAGAAATATAGGCAGTCTTTTAAAAAATTTGTAAAAGAATCGACACTAAAAATGTTGGACAATAAACCTTGGGTTTTCTTCCATCAACGTCTAGAACCATGATATCTTGAATACAGCATATGTTTTATATTTATCTTTGCTGTTTTAGTGTGAGCTATGATGAGAAAAAATTTCACTTGAAAGAAAACAAAAGGTAAGTTAAACGGATCGTTTTGAGCCGACTTTTAAAAACGGCTAACCAAATATTTTAGCCAGAAAAATATTGTCTTAGCTTCGAGATTGCGATAATATATGTCTAGACCTCCTTTGTTCCTTCTGTAAACCAAATCTTTCAGGCTTGCGTAATATTATTGTGGATGAAATGATAAGTCAGCCGTTTTTTGAAAATCTACTCAAAATGAGCACTACGGATGAAAGGTTTACCATATTCTTAGAGTTCGTGTTTACATGGCATCTATTGATAAAAATCACTAACCAACTGGAAAAAACGATTAGCTATTTATGAAAAACTCGTTGAAAATACCTCTAATTTTTATTTTATACACCGAAAATTTTATAAGAACATTATTTTTCAACCAAGCCAACGGGTTCTATATCAATATATAACCACAATTTAGACCAATCATTCCCTAATAAAATTTTTCTTCGATTTCGAGCAAATTACTACCCGGAAATAATTTATTTTTTTCTATAGAAAAACTGTATATGATTTAGCCAGGGATGTGAACCCGAGACCGAGTTCATGAAATTTAAAATTGTTCGGATGGGCATTTTGAAACCACAGAACAAACAGAGACCGATTTAGGGACAACTCATTGAACCCGGGGTAAACTGGACCTGGGGCAGGTTCGGACCCTATTAGGAAAATTGGGTTCGATAAAGTTCCTGTTATCGAAATTTGCATTAAATGAAATTTAAAATTCTCGAACCTGGATTCGGACAGTCGATCATTTATCAATACTTGAAAGTTCTATTATATTGGTTATAGCCTAATCTATATTTTTATAACTACTATTAGCCAGGGAAGAACCCTATAATGCGATGTAAAATAAGGCGGCGTCCTGAGTGGCGCTTTCTAGTGATTCGTATTGTGCATTCCATATTGAACAAATATTCGAAAAATTAAAATTCAACTAGAGATCTGCAAAAGTAGGCCCTGCTCATACCCGGCCCGAGACGGGACCCCCTTTTTACAAAAATCAGGTTCGGCGGGTCGGGCCGGGTTGGGCCGGGTCGGGCCTAATACTTTTTAAAAAACTCGGGCCGGGTCGGGTCGGGCGGGACTCGGAATTTTTTTTAAATGTATCTAAATTTATCAATTTTATATGGAATTTTTTATGTAAAATAAAAATATTTGATTTTATTCATAGAAAATTAGATGCCATATAACATATGCCCTTTATTTTGAGTAATTATAAAAATTAATTTCTATATTTAAATAATTTCGGGCCGGGATGGGACGGTAAATTTAAAAAAAAATAGGGTTCGGGCCGGGCTTGAAAAATTAGACTCGATGCAGATAACTAATTCAAATTATCAACATTCACCATTACTAGGGCCCTAATTTGAGTCTCATTAATCGTTTAATCATGAATTGGTGTCATAGTAATATTATATTTGTCGAGTGAAAATGGAATTTGTTGCAAAATAAAAAGGATTTTCGCGAAATAAATTGGGCGGGTTATTTTGCTTTGTTATTTGCTATGCCATAATGTTTTTTTTTTAAACTTTGCTTGCATTGTACATAAATGCTTTCCGCGACGTAGAGAAAGCGTATATAATACTACTATTATGAATAGAACTATTTATTTTGTCACTATATATTTTTTTTGCATAGGTCATCCCGGCTTTTATAATATATGATGCATATTTTTTTATAATTATTGGAGATTATAAAGTAACGTGCGTTTTCGTTTGTAGCTATAGTGGTAATTTGACTACTTTTACAAGTTCTTATCGGTATTAATAGAATATGGATCTGAAACGTAGCCCTACCAATTTTTTTTTTTTAAATTAATCTTTGAGTTTTTAACACTAAACACCCTCCCTTCCATCTTAAAAAATTTTGTCTATGGCTTGCATTCATTCCCAGGTTTCTATAAATAAAAACTCTAAACCTAAAATTTTTGCGCTTTACTAGAGTCTAGAGATGCGCTAAAACTTGATATCGCTAACTGGTCTATTCTTATAGTATCTGTCAATATAGGATCGAATAATACTTACAAAGTTGTCGATACAATTGGACGATTACCAAAAAATTATCATTAATATAACAAATTCTTTCTTTCTTTCTTTCTTTCTTTCTTTCTTTCTTTCTTTCTTTCTTTCTTTCTTTCTTTCTTTCTTTCTTTCTTTCTTTCTTTCTTTCTTTCTTTCTTTCTTTCTTTCTCTTCTTTCCTTCTTTCCTTCTTTCCTTCCTTCCTTCCTTCCTTCTTTTCTTTCTTTCTTTTAATTATAATTTACTTTTCGAAAATTAATTAAAAAGAATTAATTAACTAAATAAATGATAGATAGATAGATAGATAGATAAAATAAATTAAAATAAAACGATAAATTATAACCCTTTATTTACCTATTTTTTTTAAAATAAATATCTTACATTATTATTTTTTTATCCGGTTGTCCGGGTCGCGTTTGGTATTCGGTAGTCGGTTTTTATTAGTGGTATAATGCAACATAATACTATTGTTCTAGATTTTAGAACTTTAAACCGTTCTGAAAAGTTCTTAAAGAATCTCATATAGTTTAGATATGTTTTAAAATTATACTTTATTTAGATACTTCACCCATTATAATAATATATTAAAATAGTATTTTTTTTAAAAAAAAAAATTTTTTTTAATTGTTTAAAAATTTTTTAAAAATAATTTTTTTTACTCTGGAAATAATCTTGAAAAAATAATATCTTAAATATATAATTTTTTCCTGGCATGCTTAAATAGTAAAGATTAGTTCTTATTTAAATTATTTATTTTTTTTAAACAAAATAATTTCGATTCTCATGGCTAAATCTTACTTAATTCCTTCATTATCTTTTACTATAAAAAATAAATTTTTTTCATTTTTTAAGAAGATAATTATATAAATTCTTAATTTTATTTTTTATCTCTCTAAGTAAAACAAACTATCTATATTGTATTTGAATCGTTTAAAGAGTTATATCCTTTATCTCGTTAACGTAGTGTGTAATCCTTAAGGAATTGAGTGGTCTACTAAAAGTTTTAATGAAATTTAATAGTTAAGAAAAATATTTTTTATTTTTACAGCAATAAATTTCAATTAAAAGCATCCTCGTTTTTTTATTTATGTTTTTATAAGTTCCTTTTGTGAAAAAGCAAAATTTTCTTCCTTAGTTTTCTTTAAATTAACACGTAGAATGTTTCAATTTTTATAAAACTGTAATATTACTTATAGTATTATATATATAAATTTGACAATACAAAATTATGCATTAGTATATCTAAGGAGAATGGGAGGATATGTCGTATTATATTTTTTAGTATAATTAAATTGTCCGCGCATACCAAAATCTAACGCTAATATATCTTATAGATTAACACTAGCTTATTATCAGGTCTTTTTTGCTATACATTGTTACAAATGACTAAAATATTGCTAAGGCTGTCGTATAAAATCATTCAGAATGACTTATTTATAGCAAAATAGTTAAAACACCCTGCCGTATAACCCTGGTCTTCCGCTACGTTGTGTCGTAATTATAATTATATATATATTTTCAATTTAAGGTTAATTTTAACCCGTGTTTTGTTCTTCTTATTCCTGTAAAAAATTTATCATAAAGAAAATAGATTAAAATTATTTTAGAGACCCATATATTATAATGGGTATCCTGTACAAAAAAAAACATGAATAATTTACCGAACTCTTTAAGTACTATAAAAGAATGCACTCTCAACCCATCCCTCTAAAAATATAACTCAATAATCCAAACAATCCTTTTTCTAATAATTAAATAAATATCAAACAATAAACATTACCAACTAGGACAATTTTACAAGTCCAATTTATTCGTACAAATATCCACTTATAACATTATATTTCATAAAAATATTAAATCTTCCAGAATCAATCCCGTCTTCATCCAATATAATGTCTTCTTCACTCCAAACCGCACACAAAGAAACTTTTTATTGTTCTTTACCAAAAAAAACCCATGTGATCATTTCGTTTTTCTCCCCTCCACCAGGAAACACTAATTCCCCTGTCAGAAAATAACTGACATTTTATATATTAAATTAAATTTATTTCTTCCTTTTTTTTTCAACAGCTACAACACGCCCACCCATCACAAGCCCAGCGTCCCTCTCTCTCTGGTAGTATTGTATCGAATCGTCCCTTTGAATTGTATCGGTACGCCTTGAAAACGTTCAGAGAATTTACATATAATACTGTAATGTAAACCAATGGTTTATGTGTGAAATGCAATTTCAACCACATGTAATCTTCCTTCTGTCATGTAAAAAAAACTACATTTTTTATAAATATCTCTTAAAATAGATATAAATATCCATTTTTAGGTATTAAAAATAATTGCGAAAATTTGCCGAACAAAGATTTTAAACAAAATTACGAGGAATATGTATAGAAATAAATTTAATATTTTATAGGGAGGAAAAATATATAATACTTAGAAAATACAATATTTTATATCTAGGAATTGCTCAGTATCCTAAGAAAAATATATCATTTCTACCTAACTCTGCCATCACAACTAGCACAAATTCACAGAAATGTAGAACGCAAAGTAACAAAAATTGAGAAAATATTATGGTATATATGTAAAGAATTTTTAATATACCTTCACAATATAAAATAATTTGAGTCTTTTTTCTTTTTATTAAAAAAAAACATGTTCATAATATAAATAGTAAAATGTGATGTGATATAAAATTATTACAAAGATAAAAAAAAATGTAATATGCACAATAAATTTACACAAAACAAAAAACAATTTACAAAAAAAAAACTTTCTCAATTATGCAACTAAATGATATTCCCACCTCAAGGCATACCCATCACCACAGGCTGACCTTATCTGTAAATATATTTTCCCTTCACATCATTGCATACCATAAAAATAATATAATAAATGCAAATAAAACTTTTTATAAAATTTTATAATTTAAAAAAATATATATATATTAAATATAAAGATTTCATAATTTAAAAACATATAAATCCATACCAAATTTATATATATAATGCAGACATTAAATCAAAATAACTATCCACATATAACATTATAGATATTATTCTGACTTCCTAATACCTCAATTCCTTTAATTTATCATTCATAATTAAATATATCATATGTGTAATTCACATTACACCATATTTCATAAAAATGGTTACTTACTTCAAAATAAACAACATTAATTCACCCTCAATAGATCCCTAAATAATATATCAAACTTAATTGAAACTGAATTACATATACAATACAGTAACAAATAATAACTATCCCACACATGTCCATCCCTTTAAAAGCCCAAAATGCATAATTATGTAAGAAATACTTTATTACAAAAATCCACTTCTATATATATTTTCATAAATTCCCAATATTTAAATATTTAGCAATCCTTTCTGTCCTGCAGGTCTTGAGGTCTTATCTTTCTATGACGGAATACCTATAACACCATTCAATGAGTATACTGTCAAAATTGGATGTGCAATATACATCTAACATATAATATAACAAATATTACTGGCTTAAATTCCTGATCTTATTTTCATATTCCTGTCTATCATTAGTCATTACATACTTTCTATCTTATGCTTTGTAAGCTAAACATTTAAAACAAAATTCTGAAATCCTTCAAACTCACCTCTTCCTTATAAAGTATAGTGGTTAATACCTGTATTATGTACCTAAACCCTTATGTTGTCGATCCTGGTTCGCGGTCAACAATATAGAAGAATGCCCCTTACTCTCAACCCTTCCCTCTAAAAATATAACTCAACAATCCAAACAATCCTTTTCTAATAATTAAATAAATATCAACAATAAACATTACCAACTAGGATAATTTTACAAGTCCAATTTATTCGTACAAATATCCACATATAACATTAAATTTCATAAAAATATTAAATCTTCCCGATCAATCACGTCTTCATCCAATATAATGTCTTCTTCACTCCAAACCGCACACAAAGAAACTTTGTTCTTTACCAAAAAAAACCCATGTGATCATTTCGTTTTTCTCCCCTCCACCAGGAAACACTAATTCCCCTGTCAGAAAATAACCGACATTTTATATATAATAAATAAATTTCTTTCAGCCTTTTTTTTTCAACAGCTAAAACAAGTACGAAGTTTCGTTTTTGCTAAACTGTAATTGTATCTGTACCTTTATATAATTTAAATTCCTTGGCATGAATAGAACCTAAAATTCTTTCCGGAATACAAACCGAACCTAAATATCAAGAGGTTCTTCTCTGAAGAATATGGTTGAAGAAATATGGTTGTTATTGTGTATGCTTCTTTTCGGAGCTTTGAAATGCTCTTCAAAATAAGAAATCTTCGAAGATTTTTAATCTCTCTTAATGATTTTTTAAAAAAGAAGATATTTTTCTATAAAATGTAGAATTTTTACCTTTAAAATTTAAATTTTTTTTTTTTGTAAAATATATTTTTTTATAAGTAAGTCTTCTGTTATTAGGAAAATTTAAGATAATTTTTTAAAAAATTTTTTTTTGATTCTTTAGCTAAAAATCTTCAAATTATCTTATCTTTTTTTCTTCTTCAAAACTCAAATTTTTTATAAAACTAATTTTTTTAAAAAAATATAAATAAATATAGGTAAGAAAATAAAAGAAAGAAAAAAAGGAATAATGAAAGAAAGAGTATTAGCAAAAAAATAATATTTATATATCTTTGGCTTAATATGATATATACTTTAATTCTTAAAAAATTTAAAATGATTGGTTTCTTTAATATTTCCGGGGAAATATTAAACCAACCAAATGGTCAAATTGCAGATGAGGTCCGGATGGTATGACGGCTCAAAGAATCATTTGTAAAAACTTCTAAGCCAAAAGTTTCTAAAGATATCGCACCTGAAAAAGGTGCATTGCAAGAATTCGGCAGATTATTTTTTTTCTTATGGATAAAAAAAAACTTTATAAACTGACTTGGTATTGTCATAAATATGTCTTATCCACTTTAATATTTTTAAATAACGTGTTTTTATATAATGTATACATATATATATGTATAGACAGATTAATTTCTATTTGAAAAGAATAAAATAAAATAAAATAGTTGGCAAACTTCATAATTTAATTTTAAAAAACATAATTTTTGACATATTTTATGACACAAAGACATAATTTATGACCATGTTTTGCCAATTAATTTTTTTTCCACGGGAACTCGCGAAAACTTGTGGGATCCTGTATTAGAAGAATATTCCTATTATATTTCTCAAACTTCTTTAATAAACTTTTAAAACAAGACTTTCAAAACAATGAATGATTTCCTAGTAATTCATTATGATTACGACAAAAAAAACAATAAATTGTTAATTTCAGACGAAGCTGGCTTTAAAGAATTTTCCATCATTTAAAAAAAAAATAAGTATATAAATTAAAAAAAATATTTTTAAAAATAAATTATATTAAAATATAAAAATATTTTTTTATTAATTTAAAAGCTCATAAAATTTCAAATAATCTTTTATTAAAAATTAAATTTTATTTTATTTTATAAAAATAAATTATTCCAAAATTATTATCTTTTGTCAGGTAAAAAAAAAAAAAGAAAGAATTTATCAAATTATATGATATATATATTTGTTCATTTTTATTTTCTAAATTGGAATTTTTCATCTGAGTAACGCCCACTTCATGTCGCTTCTTTATCGTAATCGAAAGGGCGATACATAGTTATGAAAGCGTTATCGTCGAAGAAAATTGGGAAAGGGGGATAGAGGGGCTTAGAGGGGTTTAGATTTCATTTTTCTTGCTTAGTAGTGGGTATGGGAGGAGTAAAGTTTTAGAGAGGGGAAACGAGGTTTGGGGGTGAAGATTATTGAGGTGGGTAAGGAATAACGTTCTGCATCGACTTGATAGGAAGGGTGCAACCTAACCTCCCAGGAAGTTAAGTTGAAGCCAATTATTTTTATCAGTCTTGAAAAGCCACCCTCGATTATTTCTTTTCAATATGCATTTTGTAAAAAAAAGAGCTGATTAATAAGAAAATTTGTTACATTTTAATTTGCAGCGTTTTTAGCGGCATCATTTTGTTGTCCTACCCCTTAAAATTTTTAAGTTTCCTTCTCAAGAGCTTATTTTAAGGTTGCCTAAAAATAGAACTGAAAATTGGTTAAAGCCATTTTTTTTGCCATATCTTACAATTATAATTACAAATATTCTTCTTTTTTTTCAATCAAACATTTAAAAGAAAAAATATGTTTAATGGTTTTCTCCCCTTACCAAAAATTAAAAGACTCTTTATTTTTTTTAATTTTCTCCAAAAATCAATTTTTAATATAATAATAATTCACATACTTTTTATGAATCACCGATTCCTGGAGAAAAAAACCCGGGTAAAAGTACTCGGGGCAAAAGGACACTAAGACAAGATAATCCAATTTTCGAATAAAAATTATAGACCTTAAAAAGTGGATTCTTTTTTAGCATCTAATTTTTTATTTTGCCCGATTTCTTTTTTGTCCGTGGGTATTTTTTTCTTCAGTGTCTTTTTTACGGCACTTTTCTCCTATATATCTTTTTCAGGGTCTTTACATCTAGGACATTTTTGTCAGTGGTTCATTATTTTATAACTCATATAATGAGATAAGATAACTAATTGTCGTTTTAATTTAGCCGGGCAGGGAAGAGAGGGTACAGTATATTCCTTTTTTTTGTTGAAAATTTATATGATTGCATCCAATACTAAATTCAAGCTAACTTTCTATCCAATATACAAATTCTTTTAAGGAAATAAATTAAGCCATTTTAATTTATCTGGAAGGTTGGAACTGACCAATCCACAAGTACCTCTCCCTAATTATGCTCCAATGAAAAGAAGTTTTATGGCAAAAATTTTTTGCCACATAAGTTCTTTATCCCGGTTTATTTGAGAAGTATTGTAGTCCACATTTGTTAAATTAAACTTTCGTAATTAGCGTTGCTAAACGGCTCAAATTGAGCAGTTCATACTCAATATTTTTATCAGAAAGGTATTGTCTAAAGCTTGAATTAACCAGAGTTGTTAAAAGATACTTTTTAAATGGATCTAGGTACAGATACAACGTATAAAATAATATCTAGATACAGATTATTTAATCAAAAATCTATCTAGATACAGATACAGATACCACATTTTTTTATCTAGATCCTTTAACAACTCTGGAATTAACGATAATAGATGTCCAAAACCCTTTATGCCGAGCAAAAAAATCTTCAGCCTTGCGAAATAATTTTTCCGGATAAAATATTGAGTCAGCCGTCTTTTTTAAAAAAAAAATCGGCTATAATCGAGCCGTTTAACGCTATTTATTCATAATTATTATTTAACATTATAAGATTATCTTTCTAGGAATAATTTTTTTCTCTCTCTCTCTAGGAATGACTTGGCCAATTATTCCTGAAGAAAGAATGAAAGAAAGAATAATTAGTCATTTATTTCGATTGAAAGGGGTAGTTAGTTGATGATTAAATAATTGGAAGATAAAAAAAGAGGAAAAAATTAATAGATTTACAAAATGTTTAACAAAAACACAAAATTCATCTAATTTTGCTAATAAATAAAAATTTCTATATTTTTTTAATTTTTGTAAAATAAAATTATTTAACTTGTAAAAATTAGAATTATAAATTAGCCGTGTCAATATGTGTTTTTCCCGGCAATGTGTAACTTTTTTAAAAAAGATTTAAATCACTTTTTTGAGCGCGTTTTTTAAAATTTGTCAAAATCTGATTTTACCGGAAATATGTGCCAACATGTTTGGAATACCTACAGATAATTTTTCCATGAACTTTTAAAATTACTATAAAATTTATATTAAATTTTCCATATGATTCAAAGGTTAAAACAGCAAAATTGTCTACAATTCATAAGATAGGTATTCCAAATGTGATGGAATACATATATTTCCAGTAAAAAAAAGCTCAAAAAATGATTTAAAGTGGTAAAAATAACACATTGCCGGAAAAAAAAAATTGTCGCTAACATATATATATATATATATATATGTTTATTTTAAAAATTTTTTGCAAGACAAATGATTTTAAACTCGTCAACACTATAAATACAATAATTATATACCTCTTAAGATTATTAAAATTTCACTGTCAATATTGACGAATCATCAATTTATTTATTTTTTTTAAATCAGATTAATATAATGGGTTGGTTTTCAACGATTTTTTGAAAAATACAAATTTTTAAAATTTATAGTATTAATTATTATTATAATAAAATGTAGCCTTACTCCTATATTATTAAACTTGTTGGCATACGCCGAAAAGATTTGATTAATATTATAATATAATTAATATGTCATAACCACTAAAAAACCCTATTTCAAGGATTTTATTTTTTTTCAAGACTAGCTAATGACTTTAAATTTATAGAATTCTCATATTTTGAATTCCACCTTTGAGGACGTTTTCTATTCATGGAATTAATCCAAAATCAATAATATTCTACCTGGTTTTACAAAACCTGAATATTTTATAAAAAAAAGTAATTTTAAATATATCGATTTTAAAACATTTAAATTTTCTCTCTATTATTTTTTCGCATCTCAATGTTAATTAATTGTCGCTAAGCGAAAATCAAATCCCATTAATAATTAGTATTTTTTTTATTTTCAAATAAAAAAAAATTAATATCATTATTTTTATTTTAAATATTATTATATTAAATAACATTATAATATAAATTTACAAAATAACGTGAAATAATTTTTTATTTTGTATTCCTTTCTTTTTATTTATCAAATTTTTTTTAAACAAAAATATTATTTAAAAAAAAAATTATTTTAAAAGCTTTAAAATTGGATTTTTTTAATAATAAAGCAAAATTTCGAATAGCATTTCGAGATCAAAGAGAATCTAACTCCGTAGCCATGCTAACATTCGGCATCACTTTCCTGTATCTTCTTTCAATCGGTGTCAGTTCTTACAGACTCAGAGATCCCAATGTAGCTGCCATCCAATCTAAAGGTATTTCTATTTATATATCAAATAAATATATTTATAATAAATCGATTTTTTATTTCGGCATATTTTATTATTCAAAATTAATTTTAAATTAATTTTTTTTTGGGGGGGAGAGGGAGAGGCAATGTGGGTAAGTGGCTAGCTATTGAGCCAATTATTATAATGTTATAGAACTATTATAGTTCAAGCTAGTGTTGTTAAAAAGCCGGATTTGGGTCCATTTTTCAAAACGGCTAGATTAAAATTTTAGCTAAAATAATGGCAAATAGATGTCCAAGAATTTCTGGCCAGCTATGTGCAAAATCTTTAGGCTTACATAATGTTAATTTGGTTATAATCTTAAATAGGGCCGCGAATCGACCCGAGTCGAGCTTTTTTAACAACACTAAGTTCAACATTGCCCTATTTATTTTGTTGCAAAAATTAAATCCGATGCCTTAGGAGAATCGAGGTTGGTCAAGAAATTTGTTGAAAATATGTATTCTTCTCTTCTCTTCTCTTCTCTTCTCTTCTCTTCTCTCTCTCTTCTCTTCTCTTCTCTCTCTTCTCTTCTTCTTCTCTTCTCTTCTCTCTTCTCTTCTCTTCTTCTTCTCTTCTCTTCTCTTCTCTTCTCTTCTCTTCTCTTCTTCTCTTCTCTCTCTTCTCTTCTCTTCTATTCTCTTCTCTTCAAATAGGTGATTGAATTTCAATTACAAATTTGATATGTCATTAGGAAAGTCTGCCACCCTGTTCCAATTTTTTCTTTTTTTTTGGGGGGGGGGGCCTGATTTTTAAAATCCCGGAAGATATACCATTGATAAATAATGATCCATATTGAATGAGGGTTTAGGTTTCATAATTTTCTTATTTTATATTTTAGCATTGCGGATATTCAATGTGCATATTAGAGACCTTGCAAAAGTAGAACCGGGTAGGGCCTATTTTTTTAAAAAATTCAGGCTGGGTCGGGTCGGGCCTTGGAAATATTTAATATACATCTTAAATTTATTAATTTTATTTTGAATTTTTTATTGTAAAATGAAAATATTTAATTTTATTTGGCGATTTTTTTAAAAAAAAGAAAAAAGTCTAACTCGATATTTTAGCCCAGAAAATAAATATTGCTTTAAGTCTGAGAGATTTCGTTGATAGATGTCTCAGAACCTTTGTGCCATCTTTGAGCAAAAATCTTCAAGCTCGCGTTATATTTTTTTTCTGGATAAAATATTGAGTTAGTTTAAGGCTTAAATCGAGCCGTTTAACAACACTAGATAATATAAGTTACTTGGAAACGATTAAAACTGCTGATCGATCTCTTAAATTATTTTTGATCTACAAAAAATTTTTTTTATTAAAGTTAAATTATGATAGAAAGTCTTCTTATGTTTAGTCCATTAAATATTTATTATATTTTTTTTAAAAAATATAAAACCGTTTTGTAGCATCTTCTTTTACACTTATGGTAGAACAATTTAACTCCGGCTATTGACTCGGTAAATTATAACGGTTTATTTCGGGTTAGCGATTAAGCTTTATTTCGAGGCCCTAGGAATTGGTTCAAAATTACTCTCCAGAAAAAAAATTAAAGACGAGCTAATTAAAGATCATCAGATTATAAACATGTGTTAAGCCGGCATTCCCGGTTAACACGATTTCGCGACAAAGAAATATGCTGATTTTTGTATATTTTCTTAGCCGCCGAATATCGCTATAACTGTGAAATGTAGGGTTAAACTGCGGATGTGTTATTTTTTTTATAGCGTGCTTTTTACAAATTTAAAAAAATATGATGTTAATTTGAAATGTGTTCCCAGCATGTTTAGAATACACCTATCTTATTAATTGCAAGCTATTTTGCTGTTAAACTTTTGAAAAATTTATATTTTTAGAAAAAATCTACGAAAAAACTAAATGTAATTTATATTAAGTTTTAATAAATTTCATGGCAAAATTGTCCAAAATTTATAGGGTGGTAGGTATTCCAAACCTGATGGAATACATGCAAAGTTGAAAAAAATTAGGTTAATGATAGTCACTACTTTGCTAAATACAGACCAAAATTTATTAAAATATGATAAGACCCTTATTATTGAACGTATATTATAACGGAATCACGTGATCGAGTCCAACCTCCTATATATCATCCCTCCTCAAGGACGGAACCATAAAGTTAGATTAAGAAGAAAAAAAAGCACGATCATTGCTGGGATTCGAACCCATAACCATCGGATTGGTAAGCCACGCTCTTGCCGATTAGGCCCACAGAGGCTTTTCCAAAAATTACTATTTTTCAAATATATATTTATAAATAAATTTGGTAGTGGCCTATCCAAATTAAGGTAATACCATAATATCTTAAGGTAGCGACTAGTGACTATCATTAACCAAAAAATTACACATTGCCGCCAACATATTTACTTACTAATTACTATATCACCCACCTCCTCCTTTTTTTCCCCCTAAACTGGAAATACATTAAATTATAAAATGAAAGTTATATTTTTGTGTAAATCTAGTGTTGTTAAACGGCTCGATTTGAGCCGATTTTTATAAACGGCTAACTCAATATTTAGCCAGAAAAACATTAGGCAAGCCTGGAGTAAGTTTAATAAGGATCATCATATTGCCATCTTGTTGCCTTGTCCTCCAGAAGGCTTGATTGTGAGATATTAAATATCCTAAACATCTTATTATTATTCTAACGATATAACGGTTATTATCGACACATTCCTTTTGGGGTATTATAAATTGTAATATGGAATTTTTATTGGTCATAGATGGCACAAAGGTTATATCTATTAGCAAAATCTCGAAGCCCGCGCTATATGTTTCTGGCTAAAATATTGAGTTAGCCGTTTTTAAAAAAATCGACTCAGATTTAATTGGTTCTTGTTAAATTTTTTTTTTAATTTAAAAAATTTATTATCTTTGCCAATATGAGGTGAAAATAATTCGGTTTATTTCTGTAATAAACCTAATTAATTTTAAATCATTAAAATTTAATTATTTATCATCGCTTGAAAAACTTAATTTATGTGCGAAAAATTTAATGAATTATTTATTACAATTTAATTACCCCTGTTTTAAATTTTTTTTAAACTGGAAAATTAATAAATTATATACGAAAAAAAAGTCCTTGTTTAATTGGATTAAATTTTAATTTTTTTTTTAAAAATTTGCCTGCAATATGAAACAATTTTTTGGATTAAATTAAATATTCAACCAGTGTGGTGGCATCTGGTGGTAATATAATATTTATTTTATAAAAACAAAATTATGACTAATTATTACACTTTTAAGCATATACTAAAATAAATTTATCAATTTTTTTTTTTATATATTATAATATTAAAATCAGGAAATGACAATTTAAAAAATTAAAATTCGTTAGAAAAAATATTTGTTATAAACATATGCATATTTTTATGGCTAAGTCTAGTAGTAGTGTTCGATGATAAGTATTTTAACCAAAAATAATATTTTGTAAGCCCCGAGATTAGGCAAATATAATGTTTCCAAACCTTTCTGTCCACCTATGGAAGCAAAATTTCCAGGCTTACGTAATATTATTTTGGCTAAAATCGTAATTGGCCCGTTTAACGACACTACTAGGCCTGTTTGAAAATACATGATACATTCGATTGTATCGAATAATTTTACTATTCATATTTATTCCAATCAAATAAGTTATACTAATTATTAAAGAATCAATCTTAAAAAAAAATCTACCCTTGACTCAAATAATGTAGAGTTCTATTTTTTATTAATTAAATCCTCAAAAAGGCGGTGTGGGGGAAGGGGGGGGGGTGTTGTTTGACTTGATCTGGTTAAATTAATAACACTCTTCCACAAATTAATCAAATGTTGTAATAAGCTCTTTAAAAAAAAATTCTTATATTTTTTTAAAAAAATTTGACCAATAAAATGCACCGAATTGTATTGTGTCGCGTTCTGGGATATTATTGGATCCCAAAAAGAATTCGGAATCTCTCAATTTTCATTTGATGAAAATGATTTTTTTTAAAAAAAACCTGATTTGTCAGGAAATTTATTTATTCTTTTCAGCACTCTTAATTTTCAGAAATTTTTCCGTGAAACTAGTGGAACTTTCGTTCTTTTTGTACATTTTTAGACCACTCAAAAATTATTTGTAATTATATATATATATAGAAAGAAAGAAAGAAAGAAAGAAAGAAAGAAAGAAAGAAAGAAAAAAGAAAGAATATATATATATGTGTGTTATATTGAGTTTCGTAATCTCCATGGGGTAATTTGTCGGAATCTTTTAAAAATTATCCGAAACAATTCGTCAGGTTGGTTGTTTTACCATATGATAGAATACAGTTTACCTTCTTTCTCTTCATGGTTTCAAAAAAAAATAAATAATAAACAAAATTTAAAACGCTACCGCTGAGTTGAATAATATAAAAGGGTCTCATAGAATATTTATTTGAAATTTTTGGAAAACAGCATAATATGTATACACATAGGTTTGTTTTTTCCCGGCAATGTGTTATTTTTACAACTTTTTTTTAATTTAAAAATCTGATTTCCCCGGAAATGTATTCCCACATGTTTACAATACCAATCTTATAAATTTCAGAAAATTTTACACCTGACTTTAGAGTCGTTTATAATTTATTTTGAAAAAAATCTAGGGAAAACGAATATAAATTAGCGTAAGTTAAAAAGTTCATGACAAAATAATTCTTAAACTCACAGGGTAGGTATTCCAAAGAGGATGGAATACATATCCGGTTAAAATCAGATTTTTAATTTTTAAAAAACGCGCTCATAAAAATGATTTAAAATTTCAAAAAATAACACATTTCCGGAAAAACGATAACATATATATTTTTTTATAAATTGATCAGATACGAAAAAAAATTTACAGCGACTTCTTTATTTGAAAGTTTTCGTGTATTGGACATTGCCCTTTTAAAAAAAAAATTGGATTGCCGGAATTCGATACTTGGAAAAGGGAATATCGGAAAATTTAAAATTTTGAACACACATTTTCCAATAGAAACCATCCAATTTCATCCTTTAAATCTTTTTTATAAATATATTTTTTTTTAAAAAAAAGGTAACAAAATTTCGGGAAACATGGAAAAACGAGGATCTTCGGAACAGGGATATTCCAACGAATCCCGGTCAGAAACGGGTAAGATCAATCACCAAAATTGGCATAAATCGAAAAGGCAAGTTGACACACTTGGCGGTTCTTTGATTCCATCCGGTCGAAGATCAAAAAGACAGGTCGAAACCCTCGGGGGTTCATTGATTCCATCCGGGGCCAAACGGATTTGGTGCGATAACAACGGATGCTATTTCAGTCAGTTCCTTTATATATATATACTTTCTTTCTTTCTTTCTTTCTTTCTTTCTTTCTTTCTCTTTCTTTCTTTCTTTCTTTCTTTCTTTCTTTCTTTCTTTCTTTCTTTCTTTCTTTCTTTCTTTCTTTCTTTCTTTCTTATATATATATTAACGAATATTCTCGATTCAATAATTCGCATCACAATAATTTTAAAAATTTAAGCTGTTTTTTTGCAATCAAAATTTTTTCTTTCTTTGCTTTCGCAAAACGATTAGCGGATAAAATTATAAATGTTTTACTTTAAATTTGATTCGTGACTTAATTATCCCATTAAGTGTGTTAATTTTTATTTTTGCGTTCTCTAAAAACTTAATATATTTATATCTTTTTTAATGCCTGAACAACTCCATTTTGTCAATGAAAACTGTCATTAAGAGCTTTAAAATATTTACTTTTATAATCCATGTTTAAATTATAACAAGTTTCTAAGTAGTATTCGCTATTTGAATATTTAAAATTGGGTATATTCGAAGTATATTAAAATCGAATAATATCAATATTCACGAATATTAATCGGTTCGAATAATATTATTTGATATTAGGGAAAATTATTTGGTTCGAATAATAATTCGAGAAAATTATTCGGTTCGAATAATAATACTTGTTATTCGATAAAATTATTCGTTTCGAATAATAATATTTGATATTCGAGAGAATTATTCGAATATATGAAAGAATTTTTTTAAAGTTCTAGAAACGTAACTCGTCAGGGCCCTGTAAAATTCAAGTGCGTTTTTTTTCGGTTGACTCCCTGTCTCCAATTTTGCTCATTAAATTTTCGAATCGGTAATTTAGGCCAAGCGCTTGTCTGTCTTATTTGTGTAAAATTTATTTAGATTATTTAGTGTATTTGAAGGAGTGGCCTATTACTACTATAATAAGATTTAAGGGAATCTTTGTAAATCAAATAAATGTATAAATTATATTGTTTAACCAGATTACGAGGACTTACGCAATGATGGAATTAGGATGGAAGAAAAGGAGCCAGTAAATAAGTTGCCTGCTTTAACAAGAATTTTGGACAACGATAAAGTTAGGAAGTACATGTTTTTCCCTTCTAAAAAAAGAAACATGGATAGGATAGAACAGCCTTCCAGAATGGAATTTCATCCTTTGATCTCTAGAACTCCGATCAGAAAATTGGAAGAGGATTACGAGGAAACTCAAATAAAATAATTCAGTAATACATGCCTCATCATAAGATCATATTTTTTATAAATCCATAAAAAAAATAATAAAACGATGGAATTTTCCATATTAAATTATTATACATTTCTCTTTTTTTTTGCTGGGCTTTGACGAATGGCAAAACTTGAGATTTTTTTTTTGTACAATGGCATAATCATTTTTTAACAAAAAAATTCTAATTTATATAACAAACCGTGTGTTCTTTAAATCACATTTTATTTATTTTTCTTCTTCTGTTCCTACTTCTGCTACTTGTAATATATGGATTATAAAATCTTAAAGTTAAAATGAGATTTTTTATATATATATAATATAAATTTAAGTATACTTTTGATTTTTTTATTGAAAAACTAAACCTACGTACTAGATTTGGCACTATTATACACTTTTATTTTATATTTTTATTCCCCACCCCTCACCTTTCTTTAGCTTTTAATAGACGTTTTTACATTCCACGCTAATGTGCCACCATATTCACACCCTCTCCTCTCCACCTCCCGATTCCCGCGTTAATATAACGATATAGTAAAGTGAAATATCTCATAATATTTTGTTCATTTCGTTAGTTACAAGCATTCCAATATAAGGCTTTAAACATAATCATTCCAGGAATAGCTGTTTCTAATAAATGTTTAAAAAATTTATTTATATTTATTTATTTATTTAAATAGTGCAATAAAATATTTTACCAAAGAAAAATTAATATAATAATAAACATCACATTTATATAGCTAAAAATCTTTTATATATAAAGTGTTAATTTATCTTTTTTCATCAATATAGAATCAAATAAATTCTTGTTTCACATTATTTTTAATATGTAGTAATGTACGCATCATTATGTTGTTACTTAATAAAAACTCAATATTTGATGATTGTTACCAAGAAAAATATTATTGTATGTGTATTCTTATAATATTAACTATTTTTTTATAATTCTTTAAGGCCAAACCTTAATATGCTCGTATTTGTCATCATCATCATAGTATAATATATATACATACATTAAACAAGTTTTTTTTTATAAAGTATTTTGTAACTTATTCGAAACATAATGTCATAATATATTTAATTAATACAAAATATCATGGTAAATTTTATTTTTTGATTGTCCTTCGAAAATAGTCACAAAATCTTTTACCAAGTTATTAAGTGTGAAAATTATTCCATGTTGTAGGTTAATAACGAATGAAAGAAGGTTTAATATGACTATTTTCCATATCCATTTTTTTTGTAACATAATTCTATGCTTGTCATAAAAACTATAAATTCTTAAATAACTACCTATGGCATATGCAGAGGTATCACTAGAATTTTAAATTTAACCGGGATTAATTATTAGGGTAAAATATTAAAGACTCGAGATATATCCCCTCCTTACTGCAGCCATCGAATATATGCTCAAGTTTAAGATCTAAATCATTATTTCAGTGTTTATTCTATATAATTAATCTGTTCCGTCAAAAAATAAACCTACGAATTGAGTGTCTACAGATATTTAACCGTTAATTTAAAATTTTTAGATCGTGGAGGAAAGGAAGTAGTTAAAATTGTTCCTAAGCTTCAGAAATAATAAAAATTTCTGAACTATAGGGTATTATATCAGACTTAGTAAAATATATATTAAAGGTACGAATATATACTTGTCAACAGTTCTTTTATAAGAAAATTTTACTAAAAAATATTTTAGTAATGTTACGTCACCACTTCTATTCATCACAGTGCAAAGTTCAAGGAGATGAATTGCACACTTTTAGTCCATGAGATTCTAGGATAGTATATTATATGTATATGGCATTCTTTTACAAACGTAGTAAGGAAGAAATGTGCTTTCAAAAATTTGGTTAACCTTATAAAATTCAGATTCATATATCAAATTGTTGAAATTAAACCTCAATTCATATTCAAAATATAATGACAAATATCTATTAACTTAATTTTAAAAAAAAAGAACAAATAATATTTAATGGTCGTAAAATCATGAGATTCAAAACGGGAAATAAAATACCTAATGTCATTCATAACCAAATATGAAGGTCCAGTCTAAGGCTTGACGATAGTAGTTATAATGATTTTAACTCTGCTTCTGGTTTGGTGACTGTCAAAATGATTGATAATTTAATAAGTACTAATCAGAACCATGTTGGTACAATCTAGATGTTCAGTACGCCTATAATTATCTTTATAGCATGATACCTCAACTATCTACAGAATCAGGTTGAAGAAACTATTAATTTTACTCAGTATCACTATGGCAAGAACTTAGAACTTATCCAAAGGGGGATCAAGAAAGTTACTATACGCCCTAAACCCTCATTAATCTGGCATATGAAAAATTATGGTTAGACATTTTTATTTTCCCGTGGTTATTTTCTATTTGTTTTTCAGAATACCTTGATATCAACTACTGGCTAAACAATTGGAAGCTCTAATTTTAAAATCTGTGCCAATGTTTTGTGTCTTAATTTATATAGTAACCAGTACAAAGAAACTAATTATAGGCAACAAAATTTTTGACTTTACGATTTAAAGTTAGACTGAAAGGATTTAATCTGAAATTTTTTATCAATGTTTAACGTTTAATTGTATATCGATTTGATGCTTTTGGTAGAGAGTATATAAGAAATAATAATTATTATAGTAAAATACAAAAATAAGTGCTATAATTGGGATCATGCTAGAATAAAAAAAAATATCAAAAAACGAAATTTATGGTTTTCTATTGCACTAATATTTCGAGCTTGAGAATCACAAAGAAGTAACTGAGTTACTATGACGTCAAAATGTAAGGGTAAATTGAACCAAATTTTTGGTGGACACTAATTCCGAATCTTATACCAACCAGTAATTAATGCTTAGCTTAATTAGTACATTTTATTGCTTTATTCTGTTTAATAGATGTTTCATAAGAGAAAAAAAAAGTTTTTTCTAAAATATGAAAAACATTGTCAAAACTAGAATCTTGCCAGAACAGAGTATAGAAGTTCTAAATATCTGGTTTGAGTAAAATAGTTGGTGCCTTAATTGTTAATGCTTTAATCAAATTTTGATAGCCATAAGAAAAGTGATCTAATTACAAAGCCAAAATATAAACCATGATATAATGTATTAGCGTCAAGTCAGCCCAAACTTTTGGAATCAATTAACTTTGAAACGTATGTCAATAATTAATAACTTATTTAGTTATAAACTGCTTTAACCCTTTTGTGGATAGTTTATGAGCAATAATTTGTTTTTAGGGCCTTATTCGGCACTTCACTTCGAAATAGAAAAGGTCAAATGTCACTTGCATGGCGGTATCCAAGTTATAACTTCCTTAGAAAGCGTTAGTTTTCAATAATGAAATAATTTTATTTTTTAAGATAAATTTAAGATTTTTTTTTAGGGATAGAAAAGAAGAAATTCGAAATTTCCGAAAGAAGGAGTTTAATCAATTTAAATATTTTTTAAAAAAAATAAAAAAATAAAAAAATTACTAAGAATACATTTTATACCTATCATTATTTTCCATGATGGGAAATATTGTAAAAAAAAAAGCCTTTAAATATATGATATGCACGCTAGATATCTGTAAAAGTAGGTCCGGCCCGTTTATGAAAATTCGGGCCGGGTCAGGTCTGGCCTTAGAAATTTTTTAAAATTTATATAAATTTATCAATTTTATGTTGAATTTTTTTATGTAAAATAAAAAAAATATGTGATTTGATTTGAGAAAGTAGACGCCAAATAACGTATATCGTTTATTTTGAGTTATTTATAAAAAAATTAATTTATATATTTAAATACACCAGCAAATTTTTTTTAAAAAAATTTCGGGCCTGGCCGGCTTGAAAGATTAGGCCCTATGCAGATCACTAACGTATCACCTCATCCTACAGTAAGGTTGGGAGGCAATGAGGTATGCTATTCCGTTTCGTAATATATTTGACTATCGAGGGAACTATTAATACACTTGAAAGATTAACGGGATATACAAACAAATATTATATTATTTATCCTCCCAATATATTTTTTTATGATGTTTGAATTCCCTTTCGCGATTAAAACAACTTTTATTCTGCAAATATGCAAAAAAAAAAATATATAGAATTTAATAGATTTCTGAATAATTCTCACAGGCTTAGCCAAGATTTTGCTAAGTATTTTCCCCAAAAATTTTTGCTGGAGAGATCATTGGCATATTTATCGCAGGTTCTTGGACCTGTCTTAATAAGGAATTTTATTTTTTTAAAACAAAATATGCAAATTACCATTTTTAAAATAATAATTATTCATGTTTTTCGGGAACTTATAGTTAGTGTTGTTTAAACGGCTCGATTTTAAGCAGATTTTTAAAAACGGTTAACTCAATATTTTAGTTAGAAAATATCGACTATAAGCTTCGAAATTTTGCGAATATGTCCAAACCTTTGTGCCATCTATGATCAAAATCTTCAGGCTTGGGTAATATTATTCTGGATAAAACAACCTGAGAGAGGTTGAGGTCCAGGGACGATACTCCTTATCATTCTATCCTTTTTTTAGTAAAACTTCCTATTTAAATTTTTCATCTTTGATTTACCAAGGGCCCACGTAGAAGCGTCGACATCAGGATTCATACTATTAGCGGGGTCCGAAAAAGGTCTGAACTTGCTAAATGAGTTGCAATATATTTAGAGAGTCTAAGGAATTTCCTTAGAGAAATAGAGATCAGTGGAAAAATATTAAACGCCTGACACAAATAATTTAAAAAAAAAAATATTTTTAAAAAATTATTTGTGTGTCATAGCAACAACGTATTGTATTTATTTTTTGGGGAGAGTTGTAGTTGGGTGATTGTGGGGGTTAATGTAGAGGGAGGGAGTATTTTTTTTTATATAATAGGCTAAATTGTTGGAGAAGGAGCTACCCCCATTACGCTTCAGGTTCCTTACGAGTTACGCCTTTGATAGAATTCATATATCTTGTGTAATTGTTTGTTTTTTTTTTAAAAACGAATTTTTGTGGTTTTTTTTATAAGGTTTTATATTGGGGTTTTATTTAAATCATGGCTTCCATCAGGGAATAAAACACGAATTTAAAAAATAAACATGTTTTTTTTTAATGGAATAGGCTGCAAGTATTTGTTTTTATATAAATGAGTATAGTGGTTAATGGGTGCGAAAAAAAAACGTTAGTTCCGCTCAAGTCATAGACGCGTGCACAAAATGCAGCTGAGAATTGAAGGTGCGATTTTAATTTATTCATGCTTCCCTCTAAGTCAAGCTATATATATATTTATCTTGAACTTCCTAAGCTGAGGTAAAATTTTTTGAATAGATAAATAAACGAAGGTTAAAAATAGGATCAGATATTTAACTAAGTGCTATAGACAATGGAGTTTTTGTGGAATAAATCTTCCAACGATCCCTCCCCCAAAAAAAAAAAATTCAGAAAAAAAATCAGCTGATTGTATAATTGCGATCACGTGTTTTATTCTTCTTGTATATGATTCCCAAATTCAATTATATTCGGAATCTAAAATCTGGGGTCATTTTATTTTTTTTAAAAAGAATAATTATTTAATTTTATTATTTAGGAGGACTATGAAAAATAATTATTTTCAATTTTTTTTGAATATTTTGAATTATTTTTATTTTTGGTTTTAAAAAAAAGGCACGCTTCTCCATAATAAATAAAAAGATAAAAAAAACCAACGCTAATAACAAAATATTTTCCTTTTATAATTTTATTAAATGTTTTTTTTTTGTTTTTGATTATTGTATTTATATTTTCATCCTCCTTTCAAATTTTATATTACGTAATACCAACAGAACAAACAGAGCCCCTAGAACACCCCTCCCTAAGTCTTTCTAGGCCCTCCATCCCCATGACTAAAATATAAAATGGCTATTGACTCTCTGGTTACCTTCACCTTGATTGTTCAATCATTTTAGTCTACTCTAAAAATGAAATTTTAGCATAATGAATATTTATGCAAGCCTCAAGAAAATATGTCCATAACTTTTCCACCATCGATGAAAGAAATCTCCAGAGTTGTTAAAGGATCTAGATACAAATATCTAGATATAAAAATTTAGTATCTGTATCTAGATAGATTTTTGATTAAAATATCTGTACCTAGATATTATTTTAGACGATGTATCTGTATCTAGATCCATTTAAAAAGTATCTTTTAACAACTCTGGAAATCTCACATTGCGTAATATTTTCTTTTCCGCTAAAATATTGCGGTCGTCACTTATAAAAATCGAGCCATTTAACAACACTACCCCCCCCCCCAGTCCTTGAGATTCTAATTGCGCATATAGTTAGGGTACCCCAGGAGAAGAGAAGAGAGTTTGTAAGAAGATTCAAGATCCCAAAGCCCGGCACGATTGAAAAAGTGATTACTACAGTCAGTAAATTCTTAATTTAAAAGTAAAAAAAAATAAATATTCCAGCGATTATGAGAAATTCTTCCACCTCCTTTTGATGGGTTCAAAAAATATAAAAATAAGTATAAGATTTAATTTGATTTGATTGTTAATTCCTGCCTAGTCAACATATAGCAAACCTAATTTGTTAAAACAACGACCAATTATTTTTTAAAGGTGAAAATCCATAAATAATGGAATCACGTGGCTGTCACCAATCAATTTAAAATATCAACTCCCAAATGATAAAGAAATTTCAAATTTTAATCATGTATAAAATAATGTTGACAATAAATTATGGCAATTTAATATATTGAAATAAAATTTTGATATTAGATGTGAAGACCTTGTGGCAAATTTTGACGGGGTGAGTATTAGCCATTTTAAAAAAAATAAATCCAACTATATAAATATAAAAAAATCACTAGACTACAAGTTCGTCTAGGGGGTCAAAAATGATAATGTGAATTTTTCTTGTTGTTGTAAATTGTATGACAGCGTTAACAACAAGTTCTTTAGGGTGATATTAGATAAACCTGATACATTTACCATGTTTGACAATGTATTTTTTTCATTTATTTACTTAGGGGCCCAATATTTATATTTTTTTCCTAGCGGGCCAGGACTTCCTTGCTAAACTCTAAAATAATAAGCAATGAAGTACCTTTGGATTTTCAACTGGTTGTTTGATTTTCCTCAAAATAAAGAATAAACCAAATAATGATGAGTATTTGTATAATGATCTAATTGACTAAGACAAATTTAGGTGACTTATCAATTTGTGATTCATTTAAAAAAATATTTAAATTAATAAAAAAAATTATCCATAATAAATAATAACGTTAATTATTCAAATTCAAACAGTGAATAAATTAATGTTTTATTATTATAAAATTTTATATTTTTATTTTATTTATAGTTATAGACACTTATATAATTTATTAAAAATCAGATATCTTTTTACAATATATAAATTGAAAAAAGAAGTCATAAAAAAACTCTTGACAAATTATAATTTATAGCCACCCACCCCTCCTCCCTCATCCCCTTCCCACTATTTGAAAAGTGGAAGATATTATAAACACTTCAATAACATAATTTGTAAACTGATACTTTTGGTTGCTAAAATTATGTATTATATTTTATTGTTAGTATTTGAATTATAAACACTTAACTTATATGATATGAACTTTAATCTACTTAGTGTATATTTATGATGTTGTAATTTAAATTAAAATGTTATAATATATAAAAATTATAATTTTAAATGAATTGAAACGAAAGTATAAAAGAAAAGAAATGCTTCTTTATAGATTAAAAAAAATTTGTATATGTTCAATTTATTATAGTTTATAGGACCTTTCAAATCTGTATGGAATCAACGTAATTTGAAAATTATATTTAGCATTCCAGAAATTTATACCCTAATTCTTCTTTTATACATGAGATATTAGGTGGTAAAAACTTAAAAAAAGACTCATTCTTAATAAGTTCACAACTCAAAGATATCTTTTTGAGTATATATATTGTTGGGTGATTCAATATTTAAAAAAAAATTATTATTAAAGCGAATATTATTCGTTTTATAATTTTTTTTCGTATTTAAATTTATGTGGTTCCTTTTTGGGAACTCAATTAACAACTCAATATTTTAATCCAGAAAAATATTACGCAAAACTGAAGGTTTTGATCATAAGGGGGTTCATAGGGTTTGGACATCTATTGGCAAAATCTTGAGGTTTAGGCAATATTTTTCTGGCTAAAATATTAAATTAACCGTTTATAAAAAAATGCCGTTTCACTATTGTTGAATGGTAAATTTGTCAAATTTAGTATAAATAGAATTGAATTATTATGAATTATTAATTTATGTTACAAAAAAAACGTGTTTTTTATTTTAAATTTATATAAAAAATTGTTTTTTTTTGTTTTTATATTTTATTTTTTTAGAAATATATGAAAGAAGGAAAAAAAAATTAATTTATTTTTAACTTCAAAAAAGTTAATTGTGTAAAATGGGAAAAATTAAAAAGGTAGTAAATGCATAGAACAAAATACCTCTATTTTTAATTATTAAAAACAAATTAAATATCTAATGTGTCCTAATCTACCTCTATCGGTAATATTTTCATGAGGGATATATGGTTGGACAACAAAGCATCTGTCACCAAATTATAATGAAATGCATGATTTTATTATCAATATTAATATTAATTTATTTTTTTTTTAAACAAAAATGTAAATTTTATTTGATTTATTTTTTTTAATATTTTAAAAATATAAATTTGACCCGCTTTTTAATATCAAGTGAAATAAAATTCATTTAGGTTGTAAAATTGTATAAAAATGTTAAAATTATAAAATCAAAACTTTTATTTTATTTTTTTCAGAAAATGTTAAATGATTTGAAATAATAAAATAAAAACTCGAATTACTTGTCTGTCGAACTTGTGACACGATGTCGATAACTCTATTTTCGAGCATTTACACCCTCGAACTACTAAGTCTTTTTCAATAATAGTTTTGATATATTATCTTATTAATCAAAGCTATACCTATATCATTTTTATTTTTAGCCAAGTTCAATAATTTCATGATTTTTGGTCAAAGCAAAAAACCAAATAAATAAATTACTCTCTAACTTCAATAATGCCATTTAATTTGCCCATGGCCAACACTCTGGGAATCTCTCCAGTGGATGAATGATTTAAAAAAAGTCTATTAGAGGCAAAATATTCTTTGACACCTGGGAGCTCAAAAAAAACAGCTTTACCTCTCCTAAAAGAATCTTTTAGAGATCGGTGGTTTACTGAGCATCATTCTATCTTATGATTACATAGTTATTGAAAGATATATTTATGTATAAAGAAAGAAGGAAGGAAGGAAAGAAATAAAGAAAGAAGGAAGGAAGGAAAGAAATAAAGAAAGAAAGAAAGAAAGAAAGAAAGAAAGAAAGAAAGAAAGAAATGAAAGAAAGAAAGAAAGAAAGAAAGAAAGAAAGAAAGAAAGAAAGAAAGAAAGAAAGAAAGAAAGAAAGAAAGAAAGAAAGAAAGAAAGAAAGAAAGAAAGAAAGAAAGAAAGAAAGAAAGAAAGAAAGAAAGAAAGAAAATAAAGAAAGAAAGAAAACACTTTATTTTTAAATTACTTTTCATTTGAATATTCTTTAAAAAAATCTAAACATATTTTTGTTTATTTCATTAATATCAATGTAGTTTAAAAATCTGCAATGTCATCGTTCTCCGGCAGTTGGGCCAATTCAGGGCAATGTCTGAAAAAAATTTCAATGGGCCGGGCTTAAAAATATGGTTGATATATTAAAAATCGTTTTTAATATTGTTAAATGACAGGTCATGTGATGGTAAATAGAACGAATAGAACTTTAATAAATCAGCTGTTGTAATGGATTGAACCATATTCATATTCTTTTAGTCACATAATATCCTTTTTAAAAAAAAATAAGGACTAGTTTAAAATTAGATCAAAATTAATTATTTTTCTTTGTGAATTATTTTACTCACACTCCCCTATTCTCAGAAAAGTCCTTTATTAGGCTATTGTTATCTTATAAATTCTTACCCAAAGGTCGGACCTAAAAAAATTGACCCCATCCGGTCCCGATCAGCTGGAAAATCATATGATAGATCGTTTAACATTTCATTTATTTTTCAATTTCTTATTGATTTGAAACCATTTCCGCAACGCTGCCAAAATTATTTATACCCCTACGAAATTTTATAAAATCTTGACCAGATCCGTATATTGATCCAAAATTTTTCAAAATCTAGGGGGGGCAGGTCGTATAATTATCAAAATTTTTTAAATCAGGAAAGCCAGGTCGTATAATGACAAAAAATTTTAAAAAATTATAAGTAGACTTGAAATTCCGATCTCTAACAGGTCTCTAAAATATTTAAAAAAAGGATTTCAACAATTTATATAATAAATATTTTATTCTATTTATAATAAAATTATCACGATTTGACGAATTCGACTTCAATTACATTTTCGAAATTGAATATTTTACAAATTAATTAACTATCAATAAATAATATAATACAGATGAAATAAAAGTATAAAATTATTTTTAAAAATATTCTTTTGTCAGTTCAATATCATAATTATGTTTATTATGGCGAAATAACTCATTATATATAAAAAATAAAACTATTATAAAAATTTTTGTTAAAACATAAAATTCAACGTAGCAAATTGAAATTTAATTCATAAGTTTATCAAAAATGCTTTTCGAAATCTTCTCAATGATAGCGATATTTGTTAAAGATGATTATAAGGGTCTTAAGTCGGAATCATGAGGGTTAGGTTTGAGCAATTGAGTCAGAGTCCATATGTAATTATAAGCCAACCGCAGGGTTTCTATTTTAGTCAATTTAGGAGAGTTTTGGGAGCCACTGCTGCATTCCGATTGCCTGGACAAATCCTCCAAATGGGAACTCATCTCGCTCCCAATCTCGTCGTTTTCCTCCTTCCCAGCCGTTCGAACTCGTTGTTCGTTAATCATCGCCACCGTGTCATCTAAGAAGTGATCCCTTGCGCTGCTAGTGCTCTGTAACAATCTTCTTGTCGTCTCCTCCAGCAAGGTAGATGGTAGCCCATTTCCGATAAAATCGCTAAAACGATCTTCTTTACCCTCACCCTCATACAGTGTATCAGTCAAATGGTGATCTTGGTGGTCAAAATGGTTTCCCTGGTGGAATAGGGTGTTAGTGGCGTTAGGGGCCAGGATAAAATTATTAGGCAGGACGCTTCTCAGCGTTTCCATGGCCTCGTTCAAGCCGTGCATCCTGTTACGTTCCCTGTCGTTAGCCTTTTTGCGTCTGACTTTTTTTATTTTCACTAGAAGTTCGGGATTTTTGACTCTGGACCTTACCCTGACTCTTTTATTGTCGTTCGCGACAAATTTAGTCTTCGGGTTAATAGAGGGTGACGGAAAAATTGGGAAGTTTTTAATGTTATTGAGAAGTTGGTAGGATGATGATGATTCGGTAAACGTAGATACGATCGAGTTAATTGAGGTTGGGAGAACCGATTTATCGGAAAAGACTGTTTTCGTAACCGAAGCTAAGGACCGTTCGGAGATATTAAGATCATAATCCGTATTTTGCAGATGTTTATGAATGACGTGTTGATTTTGGTGATGGTGATAAAGGTTAGGAAGCGAGCAAGTGTTAGGAATAGATGGGGTTAGATGAGACGGCAACATTGGATAATGATGGGGTAAGGTACTACTGGTAGCTTTTTGCTGTTTATCGATGAAATCGCGGGCAACACGAAATTTGTCGTCTTCTTGGTAGCTGTCGATCAAAATATTATTATTGTGACTATTAGGGTATGTGGACCCATTATCGTAATATGATTTGTTCGGGTAATATCTTTTATTGGAGAATCCATCTGGTTCCCATGGTATGTTGTTATAAGAATCATAGCTATTCTGCAGTCTCGGTTTCTCTTGAATATTGGAAAACGTTTGATTTTCTTCCAAACGATAGCCGTAATGCATTTCACTGGAGATTTTCTTTTAAAATTTTAAATAATTTATTTTAAAAAAAACTTTTTTTTGATACGTTTTAAAATTAGAAAAAATAATATTAAAAAAAAAGTTAAATTTTTTTAAATATAAATTTTTTATTAAAAATTATTAATAAATTTTATAATTTATAAAAATCATTTTTTTTTTTGACACACAGAAAAGAGTATAAAATTGGATATTATAATAAAATAAAATATAAAAATAAATGGCTTTATTTTTTTTATTATTATTATCTATTTATTATTTTTAATAATAATATTTTTATTTTGATGAATTATTAAAAAAATTATCACAATTTTTTATAAAAAAAATATATATATTTTATAAAAGATGGGACGCTATATTGGTAGCTTCCTACACCTATTTTTTGCTTTTCATTTCAAATAAGCGTGAACAAATATATTTTTTTTGTTCCCAAAAATGTAAGGAATCAATCAATATTCGATAAAAATGAAAAAAAAAACAAACCCTATCAATCTAGAGACTCCCATTTCAAATGATCAATTTTGAAGGGTTCCCGGATGGTTATAAATAAAAATGCCAATAAGTGATAATCAATAAGATGATCACGTGACGAGGAGAAAGGCTAATTAATTTGAAATATTTAATCATGTAACAAAAATTTTTTTATGTCGTATAAGGGTTGAATTACCTGGCAAAAAAATAATTAATTAATATTTTTCCGTTGTTTTTTTTTAAAAAAAAATTTTCTAATTAATTGACTTAATGACCCAACTACCATAATTAATTGTCATGTAAATGTCGCGAAAAATAAGTGACATATCGGAATTATTGAAAAATAACTTCAAATGATTGTTTAAAAAAAAATGTAATTGGTTGGTATGGGTGAGGTTTATTTTTAAATTATAAATTACACTTGTTTCTTATTTCTTGTTAGATTGAAAAATATATATAAGCATTTTCATAATCTTAACATTAACAAACAGATTAAAAGCAAAAGTTACATAATTCGATCCTTATTTGGAATCGTTACTTATCTCAATTCGTTACTTCAGGGAAAAAATCCTTCACGATAGGTCAAAATTCATGTCATTTAATGCATCCGCCTAGGGTTCATGAGTATATTGGTCGAACTCGGGATGGATGAATATAAATGAGATTCCTATTATTGAGGAAATCTTCATAATCTTAACATTAATAAAGAGATTAAAAATAAAAGTTACATAATTCGATCCTTATTTGGAATCGTTACTATGGGGAGAGTGATCTCATTCGTTACTTTCAGGGGAAAAATCCTTCTCGGAGGATCAAAATTCATGTCATTTAATGCATCCGCCTAGGGTTCATGAGTATATTGGTCGAACTCAGGATGGATGAATATGAATGTGATTCCTAATTATTGAGGAAATCGCCTTCATATTACCTACAATTTTTTACGAACTAAATCTTTATGTAAAAAAATCAAATATTATAGGTACAAGTATAATAATAAATTAAATAAGCCATCTCTTAAAAAAAACAAATTAAATTAAATATCTGCATTGTAAAAATTTCAGAAAAAAAAGAATGAAATTAGAACACTTTTAAATTAGAAAAAAAGAAGATCTTCATAATAAATTCAAAATTCTTCTAAATTTTTTATACCTTGGTGACCATACAATAAGGCCTCTTATTCCAATTGATTCATTAAAATGTCAAAGGGGGTGTGAGGGAGGTATAATATTTATTCCATTCGAGGGGGGGGGACTCAGTGTGCATGCTTAGGGAAGAGCATGCTGGCTACGAGTTCATGAACAGCAATTAGGATCTTTCTTGCAAAGTTTTAAATACTATACATTCCCCAATTTTATATCATTATGAAATGAGCTTGCTTGTCCCAAACAAGATAACAACATAAAATTACATAACTAATTATAGTATATATACTTTTTTCTTCGCAATTCATTAAGAGACCTACCATTTTTCATTATTTTTAAATGATAATCAGAAAAATAAAATTATAACAAAATTTTAAAAAATTCTAATTATCATCATACTCTTAACAGCGTATATATTATATTTCTACATTTATTTTTTGTATTTCAAAAGGTCTTCAAAAAATCAAATCATAATACTTATATGAAAAATTTTTCATTAACACAAACAAACAAAAAAAAATACCGCTTTTATATAGAAGTAATTTAAAACCCCCACAATCTTAATCTTCTTTATTAGTTGTGCATGTAAAATGTTTCTTAATGTTTTTATAATGTTTTTATAATCTTTTAATTATTTTTTAACACTTATTTTTTCTATTTAATAAAAACTTAAATTTCTTTTAAAAAATAATTTTAATTTATTACTAAATTTTTATAAAAGTCATTTTTGGGGATACATAAAAAAAAGAAGAAATTAATGCTAAACTGATATAAATGTATTCACAAGTGATTAATATAATTTTCTCGACAAATATATTTCAGTAAAGAAAAAAAAATTACCTATGTCAAAGTCAATCATAAATAATTTATAATTATTTTTAAAAAAGTTTAAACAATTTTATATATTTTCTTTATATATATATATATAATTTGGTAATTTGATCAATTTTGTCATAAATCTACGTAACATGCCTTAATAACAAAATTTTTGTCATTTTTTAAAATGGAAAATTAATGTGTGCCTTCAATAGTTCTTTAATTTTTTTTTAAAGATAATATTCTATTGTAATCTTCTTTTTTATTCATTATCAGTTATATTTAGTATAATTTAAGATTTAAAATATTGAAATGGACTTTGTACCTTTCTTACCTTATTATATACACATGTTTGGCCTTAACTTTTGTATATCAAATTACTAATATAACAAGTTTAAATATTTATATTATCTTATTTAAAGAAATAGAAGAATTCATATTTTGTTCATCACTTTATAGCGTTTCGAATATCTTCTTGTGTTTTTGCCTGTGCATATCAAAATACATTTATTTTATACTATAAATTATAAAAGAAGTGTTTATATAAGTCGATTAAAATACATGTTACATTTAATTATAAATATCTTTTAAATATGATAAATTGGATAGACATAATGGAAACTTTAAAAAAAAAATATATATATGAACTTTTAACGAGGTTTTTTTGCCGAAATGAACATTCCTATTTTTCTATGAAAATTTTTTTATATTATATGACATGGCCCACGTCCTATCCCAACTTAATTCTTATTTTTAATTTCTGAATTCTTACTCAGAAAATCAGATTTTTACTTAAATAATATCTTTAAAAATGTTAATGTTAGTGTTAAGATGTTCATGCTATAATTTCAAAAATGACTAACACAGGACACGGGCCATTGGGTTTTTATATAATTCCTTAAATATTCTATCCTTTCTTTTAGGCTTGTGTTTTTATTTTATCGATCATTCATAAGAGTATATAACTAGTAATGTTTTAATGAATTAAGTTAATTTGATTTTGCATGGAGGAAATATTCTGAAAAATTGATTTTTAACTAGTCCGATTTTTTTTTTAAAACGGCTAACCTCAATATTTCATCCAGAAAAAAATCTTACGCAAACCTGAAGATTTTGCTCATAAGAGGAACAAAGGTTTAGGATATATATTATCGAAATTTTTGAAAAATCGGCTCAAAACGAGCCATAACCATAATATGATAATAATAACATATGAAACAAAAGAGTAGAGTTAGTGATAAAAAAACGAAAAGAGCAAATATTTATAAATTAAAAATATGATTTCAAAAGGTTATCAGTGGCCATTTTTAATGCGTATAAATTACTATTGAAAAATTATGATTCCCAAAAGTTATCCATAGGCCCGAAAGGGTAACACGATTAACTTAAAGTTATGTATAAATTACGTATAAAAAATATATATAAATATATACTGTTTTTGTTATATAACCCATAAAATTATTAGTTTTTTTTTTTAAACATTTTATTAACGGTAATTTTTTTAATTTTTAGATTTAAATTAGTTTTGGATTAATTAATGACGCTTCAAAAAATATAAATAATTACGTTTAGATAGATGGATTAGGTAGAAAACGTTTTTTCAAAAAAAAATAAATAATATAATTGATTTTAACGTTGTTTTATTTTTCCAAATCCCCTTTTCACACATTTTTAATGGCTGGTTAAATCATCTGATATGTAATTATTATATAATTTATCAATTTTTTTTAAAAAAATTCACAATTAACATACAGTATAATATAATATATAATATATATACCTACATGTTTTTTGATGATTATAATGTATAATCGTTGTTATACTAACTCAGGTTTAATTACTAATTACCAGGAATCAAAATAATAATATCTATAGTAGTGATGTTAAACCATCAATCCCCTTTTCACATAATTTTTAATGGCTGGCTAATCATCTGATGTGTAATTATTATTTAATTTATCAATTTTTTTAAAAAAAATTCACAATTAACATACAGTATAATATAATATATAATATATATACCTACATGTTTTTTGATGATTCTAATGTATAATCGTTGTTATACTAACTAAGTACTAATTATACCAGGAATCAATATAATAATACCTATAGTAGTGATGTTAAACCATCTAACTTTGGTCAGCTCTAAAATGGCTTCTTTTTTTTAGTCGTTATCATTAAGTTGAGGGTAAAGACGCTTAAGTCAATTTTTTAGGGGATAATTTTGACCACACCATATTGGAGTTGGTCAAAGTTAGGTGATTTAACATCACTATAATACTTTTATACAAAAAAGTTTCAAATCCTTATTTTTCTCTGATTTTATTAAGAATTTTTATTAGATATATTTATAATGAATTATAATATCTAAAACTAATTATTTGATTTTGATCGGTATAAGAGTTGTTAATAGATTACTAGGAGAATAATCGTCATTTCATTTATTCGATCAAATCATTCGAATAATTTAAAAATTTTTGTATTTATTTGAAATTATTAATATAATTTTTTGAAAAAATTATCTTTGTAAATAAAAATCAGAAATATTCTCGATAA